GCAAGACCCAGGATACCACAACAAAAGAACTCACAAGCCCATCACACAACCCATTACCCAAGCCGTTAAAACACAAGAGGCTAACGACCCAGGAGATGACAGCACAAGATCCAGGATATCTCCACAACAAAAGGCCATTACACAGCCCATTATACCAACATCAACTCCATCAACCAATCAAGAGGCTGCAGCACAGCCAACCAGCCCAGCACACCATCCCCCACCACTTGTATATAGAGAGAGATGGCAGCTCCGGTCACACACTGCTTGCACTGGCACTAAGCCGAAAGCACCAGCCTGAAGATGGCGAGTGGGACCTCGCCGAAACGTTGCCTAGATACTTTGAATCTTACGCGGGAGAGAACCCGAATAACCAAAGATCCACATACAAATACCCGCGAGAACCTCAGAAAACATATATATATATATATATATATATATATATATATAATATGTATGTATGTCTAGGTGTGTTCGGGTCTTTTCCCGTGTAATATTAAGAGTATCTTGGCGACGTTTCAGTGAGGTCCCACTCGCCATCCTCAGGCTGGTGCTTTCGGCTTCATGCCAGTGCAAGCAGTGTATGATCGGAGCTGCCGTCTCTCTATAAATACTGTGGGGGTGGGGGCTGGTGTGCTGGGCTGCTTGGCTGCACTGCTGCCTCTTGATTGGTTGATGGAGTTGATGTTGGTGTAATGGGCTGTGTGATGGCCTTGTGAGTTTTGTTGTGGAGATATCCTGGATCTTGTGCTGTGATCTCCTAGGTCATTTGTTTTGTAGTGATCTTTTTTCCATTAGTCTCTCGTGTTTTAACAGCCCATCACACAACCCATTACCCAAGCCGTTAAAACACGGAATCCTGCACTCACAAACAAAAAAATCTCCACACCACAAGCCAGGCAAACACCTGGGTACAAACAGATCCCCCCGATACCTCCAGCTCAAACACACCCCAACCAGGCACCCAGATGAAATCTAGCTTCCTAACAAATGATAGCCGTCCATTTACTCGGAGCCAAGCTGCACTAAAAGCCTCCAATACAGGAACACAATGTTGCCAGCCAATCAAGACAAAAAAAAAGCCACAAAACAGACAGAAGATATTAGAAACACCAATCAAGCAGAACACAGCAAACTCCAAGACCAATAAACACAGACCAAGACTCCCAACCAATCAGGATGAAGAAAAAACCATTCTGGCACAGCAGTAGGCTAGCCCCAAATTTCAGACGCCTGGCCACCAACTCATATTTATGACTGTTGCAATGTCCCGTGATCCCCCTTTTGTGTGACCTTCTGAAAAGCAAAGTCAAATGGGAAAGGCAGATTTGCTTAATGACCATGATTCACATAACTGCAAGGATTTCCCTTAACAACAGTGGCAAGAAAGGCTGTCGAATGGGGCAAAACTCACTGAATGGCCATCTCACGCTCAGCGGCAGTGGAAATGTTGGGCTCAGTCATGGTCGTACGTCGAGGACCGCCTGTATCTGTGAGGAATATTCCTCCTCCTGACAGGCTTTCTCCTCTCTTGGTAGTGCAAGCTGGAACTTGTTGTCGGGAGCCCAGCCTCGTGCATGGAACTGGAACTCTACACCCCGGATGATAAGTTTGTGATGAAGCTGGACCGCGATGAGGCCTTGCTGGGCTCTTACCCGGTTGACGATGGACACCGAATCCATGTAAGTGTGTGTCATGCCCCTGTCGGAATCTGATTCTGAGGGGGAGGCCGAGCAGCTGACTGAGTGGGAGAGTGGCTCCGTTGGCTGTGGAGGAAACTGGGGAAGGGCAAAGTCTGGCTGGGCAGAGCAGGGGAGAGGTAGAACAAGGGAGAGGCAGTTTGGAGGAAGAGCCAGGCCCACCCCCTCTTCATCTTAGGGTACGCAGGGAGGAATGGAGAAGGAAGCAACGTGGGTCGCGTGGCTTATGGGGGAGGAAAGGGCCCTGATTCCCTTTATTAGCTGCAGCTTGGAACACAGGGTTTAAAAAGGGAAGCTGCGCACAGCAACTTGTTGGGAACAAATCCTGAATTATCTGGTATCGTGGAGGCTGATCTGTGTTCCTGGCGTCTTCCCAACTGTGTGTGTTTGTTGGTCTTTCAAGTCTGCAATTCCTTCTCCTGCCCTGTCAAGTTAATTACTGCAGTGTGGTTTGTGTGGATTTTTAGTTACAGTTTGTATGTACTTTGTTTTCGGACTGAATTTCCTCCACTTAAAGGCTGTTCCTGGGAGAGTTTTTTCTCCAGCCGAAGGTAACCTGGACATTGGGGGCCAAGTTGGAGATAATAAAGGGACTCTTCTTGCTTATTTGATTGTGTTGCCTTTGTGCCACGCCCCTTTGGGTCATCACAGTCTACCTGCATTCGAGTTCTTTCCTTGGGGCTTCCCCTGTTGCAAAGAACTTTTCTTTTTAAATTCTCTCGGGTATCCCTGAACGGGGGTCTCCAAACGTGGCACCTTTAACACAGGTGGACTTCAACTCCCAGAATTCCCCAGCCAACTATGACTTCTGGGAGTTGAAGTCTGCAAGTCTTGAAGTTGCCCACTTGAGGGACCCCTGAGTGAGTTGAACAACATTCAGCTCTGCTTCTGGGGACTGGAACCCACCACTGACACAAAGTGGACGCCTTCTTTCGCCCTGTAGGTGATAGACCGAAGCGGGGCAACGATCGGGGAATACGAAGACGTCTCCAAGGTGGAGAAGTTCCAGATTTCGGATACTGAATACGAGAAGCGAACAGGTAAGAACCAGAAGTCATGTCCCCCCCCATGTGGGAGGTTGGAGCAGCAAATGCTATTTTATCCCAGAAACGGGGTTTAGAGCTGGGGTCTCCCCAACGGTGCAACTTTACAACTTGTGGACTTCAACTCCCAGAATTCCTGGACCAGCATTGGAATCTCTGGATGAAATGGAAATATGGGGTGGGAGGGAAATCCTCTCGGCCTTGAAACCGACCTCATTTCTCCTTCATTGAGAGAAATTTATTTCTTAAGAATAAAAATAGGATTTTATATATATACAACTCTCTCTCTCTCTCTCTCTCCAGTATATATCAATTCCCCAATATACATAAAAATAGAGATGTTGATAATACATACATAAAAATGTATTTATGTATCTCGTATATGTATATATATATGTATTCCATGTAATTTTATATATCTAATCTATATGAATGTATGTGTGTGTGTGTATATATATGTATGTATGTATGTATGTATGTATGCTCACACGCACACACACACACACACACACACACACACTTACCTACCTACCTATTTGGCTTGTCTTCTACCCTGCTGGAAGGAACAGAAAGCATTGAAAAGGATGGTCCTCTTGCACCAGAGGTCTCCAAACTTGGCCACTTTAAGGCATGTGGACTTCAACTCCCAGAATCCCCCAGCACCAGCAGAGCTTGCTCTCTTGCGATCCCTTCCTCTGCAATCTCTTCTCTTTGCGGGAGAGGAGAAAAAGAAACAGACACGACTGGCTGGCTGGGGAATTCTGGGAGTTGAAGTCCACAAGTCTTCAATTTCCCAAGGTTGGGGCCCCCTGCTTTGGTCTCTTCCTTCCCCACTGGGATGCTTTTCTGTAAACTGAATTTTTAAAAACTAAACCAACGGAGGGAGGTTTCCTTTTTGGAGGCCGGGCAAGCCCAAACGTCTCTGCTCATCCGCTGGCTCTGCCCCACAGACACGGCCCGCTCCTTCATGAAGCGCAGCCACCTGGGACAGTACAACAAGGAGGAAATGTCGAGGAAGGAGTCCGAGTTGGAGCAGAAGCTGGTGGAGGAGAAAGCCCTGGCAGAGGCCATTTCCGTGGGGGCCAGGTGCGAAGTGCGGGTATCGGGGCAGCCCAGCAAACGGGGGACAGTCATGTACGTGGGTGAGTATTCGTAGGACTTCCAGGTCCCAGAAGTGCTTTCCAAAAGGCAGCTGGACTTTTGTTGGTTTTATTTATATTTTATTTTATTTTTTCTTTGAAAACGTTTAGCCTCTCATCCAAGAAGCTTCTTCACTTCTCACGACTCCTTCTTTTGGGTTTTCACAGGCTTAACAGAATTTAAACCTGGTTACATGGTTGGGATCAAGTATGACGAGCCGTTGGGAAAACACGATGGCAGGTAATTTCCCTCTTCGTTCCGTTGTTGGCCTTGTGGATGTCCACAGCCCCCCACTTTTGGGAAGTGGGGGGGGGGGGGTTTCCTGAGTTCCTGGCTGGGAAAAAATAGAGTCCACGGGGGGAGAATTTTTATTTATTTTATTTATTAATCAAAGGTACATCACAGAGCTCTCCAAACTTGGCAACTTTTTAAGACTTGTGGACTTCAACTCCCAGAATTCCTTGCTGGGGAATTCTGGGAGTTGAAGTCCACAAGTCTTAAAAAGTTGCCAAGTTTGGGGACCCCAGACTTAAACCAACATAAGTTTGCCTGAAATAGGATTGGTCTAGAACAGGGGGTCGCCAACCTTTTGGGCCTCGGGGACCATCAAACTCATAATTTTAGATCCCAGGGACCACTAACTGGTTCTGTGGGTGTGGCCTAATTTGTGGGTGTGGCTTGGTGGTCATGTGACTGGCTGGGCATGGCTTGCATGTAAATATTATAAATATTTATATAAATATTGAATTTTTTATAAAAAAAAGCAACTTTTACCCAAAATCAGGCAAAGCTGGCAGGCATATTGAGTTACTCACAGAATCATTCAGTGATCTATCTGTCTGCCATCGGCTAGCTCAGTCTCTCAAATTTCCTTGCTGTGAGTCTGCACTGAATCATAGAACCTTCAGTCCTAAGGGAGGTTCGGCTGTGCTTAAAAGCAGAGCCGAAGATCTAAAGACTAGCTAGAAAGCAAGAAATCCAACCATTTCCTGCTTCCTAGCTAATCTAAGTCTCCCGGCACAGCAGAACAGTTGATGGTCGGAAAAAGGAAAAATAGCAACTTAGCAGGCAAGTTTGGCAGGTAAGGAGTGAGTGGGCGGGGAGGGTTCCTGCAGGCCATGTGGACGGTGCAGCCTTTGTTTTCCCTCAAAGCCTGGATTAATTGCTTTGGGGGGGGATGCTCTGGGGGTGACATTTCTCTGTGGACCACCAAAATTTTCTCCCACCGGTTGGCGACTGCTGATCTAGAAGACCTCCGTGGTCCCTCCCAGCTCTTGTTAACCTGTTAACTCTGGGTCTCCCTGAGAGACAGTGTTGAATGCTGAACCCGCAGAAGACCAAGAGAAAAAGGAATGTTTCCACCCTTAGGAGCAGAATGCTAGGACCCCCCTGTAGAATCCCTTCCTCCTGTTTGAAAGCAAAGCTAAACCCTCAACTTCTAATGCAAAGGAAAAATGATGTCAGGTTTATGCAAATCAGGCCAATTTCTATTGTTTTGGCATCAGTGCACTCCGGGCTTTGCACGCCGTTTTAATCATTTTTAGAACCTTTATGGGTTTATCTATGTAAATAATGATGTATAATATGGCTGATGATCTTTGGGCACGCAGCCCCTGCTAGCTAACAGTGAAAAAAAAAAAAGACAAAGCAATAAAACCAATACAAAAAAGGAGGGGAAAAAAATCAAGAAAAACCAGGTATTTATTTATTTTAAAAAGAGTTTAATATAATGTATGTTGATATAAACGTACTTCGTATAATCCTGTACATATATAAAAGATAAGAGCTTCCCTCCCCCTGCTGAGGTCAGAGTTCTTTTAACAGAGTAACAAGAATTGGAGGGGGACCCTGAAGGTCTTCTAGTTCAACCCCTGCTCAAGCCATCGCAGGTTAATGTCATTGCAGACTAATGGCTGTCCAGTCTCCTTAAAGTGTCTTTTGGTGGGATTAAACATTACTGTAGTTTATCAAAATATAAAATACAGAAATACAAACAGAAATGAAAATAATGGGAAAATAGGGGAAGGAGAAGGGGAGGAAGAGGAAAAAGTGTAAGGTAAAGGAGGAAAGAAAAAGAAAAACATGGACTTCGAACTCCTTTTCGCACAGTAGAATAAGGCAATAACATAAAACCTTGTTTTTTTTTACTTTCCTTTAACAATATCTGCTAGTCATTTCTATAACAACAAGCCTACCTAGTCAGCAAAACCCCAAATCCATTTTTTCCACCTCAAGCACGAAGTCCAAAAGCGGTTTCCAAATAGAAACGAAATCTTTAAAAAAACATTTTTTTTTTCAAATCTGCTGCCTTGACTTGACAGCATTTGGTCCATTTGCTCATTTGGTGTTTTTTTCCTTCTTTCCTTTCCTCTTTCCTTTCCTCTTTCCTTTCCCCTTTCCTTCCTTTCCTTTTTTCTTTTCTTTCCCCTTTCCTTTCCTTTCTTCCTTTTTCCTTTCCTCTTTCCCCTTTCCTTTCCTTTCTTTTTCTTTCCTTTCCTTTCCTTCCTTCCTTTTTCTTTCCTTTCCTTTCCTTCCTTCCTTTTCCTTTCCTTTTTTCTTTCTTCCTTTTTTCTTTCCTCTTTCCTTTCCTTTCCTCTTTCTCTCTCTTTCCTTTCCCTTTTCCTTTCCTTTCTTTTTCTTTCCTTTTTTCTTTCCTTTCCTCTTTCCTTCTTTCTTTCCTTTCCTTCCCTCCTTTCCTTTCTCCTTTCTTTTCCTTTCCTCTTTCCTTTCTTCTTTCCTCCCTTCCCCTTCTCCTCTCTTCTCCTTCCCTTCCCCTTCCTCCTGGACAGTGTCAACGGCAAGCGATATTTTGAGTGCCCGCCGAAGTACGGAGCCTTTGTGAAGCCCCAGTGCATCGTCGTGGGGGACTTCCCGGAGGAGGACTATGGGCTGGACGATGAAATGTGAGGGGGGCGGACGGGAGGAAGGAAGACGTGGAGAGGATCTCCGGGGCTTCTGCTGGCTGGCAGACACCCCCCACCCCTCGGTTGCTGTCGTTTCCGCAGTGTGTCTCACTGCGCCCTGATCCCGAGGGGGGGGGGGGCTTGAGTGAAGGACTGTGTGTGTTTTGATGTGTTGGTTGTTTGTCCCTTTGCCCTGGTTGTCTCTGTTCAGTGAAGATGCCAACGCCTCCATGCCACCCACCCCCCATAGGTCAGTAGCAGAAAACCAGAATGGCTTCGATTGTAGTCCCCCTTTGGGGGAAAGAGATACAGGGTGACGTCTCCCCGAATTTCCCGTCGCAGCCAGTGGAAACTTGAGACGCAGGATTCAGAACACAAGATGTACACACCCAACTCTGGTTTCAACAAAACACAAAATTCTAAACCGAATCATTTTGATGAACATGCTTGCTTTCTTTCTTTTTTTCATTGTGGGTCTTTGTGGTTCCGTTTTTGTGCTGCTGGAAGATGCTTCTGTGATCATTACAAATTAAAAGTTTTGGAGGGCGGGGAGTCAGATACATTCCAGACAAGCGTGCTTCGGTGTGAGTTTCTTTTTTCTCTCCAGGCCAGCAAAAACGGGCAAATGGGGAGTATGTGTGTGTGTGTGTGTGAAATTTGACTTTTTCTTTTGCAAGGGGTACCTAAAGCAACATGGGCGGTGGTGGGATTCAATTTTTTTTTACTACCGGTTCTGTAGATGTGGCTTGGTGGGAGTGGGAGGGGAAGGTGTCAGGATTCCACCAATCGCCCTCATGAAATCATGATTCTCGAGCCAAACTTCAAAAACCTTCCAAAGATTCCTTAGAGGCGACATCCTGGCCCTGCCCTGTATGAAGCCAACTCTGGCCCACGTCATTTACAGTCCCCTGTGACTCTGTTTCCTCCGCCCCCCCCCCGGGTATGTCATAAATCAGATTCTCCAGCTGAGCACCTTCACGGGCTGGGTGTCCTCATTCACGTTCTCCAATTAAATATATTGGGGGGGCAAAAACTCTGGTAATTTAGTTACAATCTTTGAAAGATAAAGAGTTGGAATGTACTTTCGCTTTCAGCTGCTCTTCCAGATTTCCTCTCCCCCCCCCCTTTTTTTTTATAATGGCAACTACTAAAACAGGCAGTTGACGGAAGGTTACTGCAAAATCCCCATTCCCTCCCCCACCCCACTAACCTGCTTTCCAGCTCCCTTCTCCTGTGCAGGGCAACCAGAGAAGACCCAGCCGATCAGCTGGGACTCAATGGGAGGCGGGGAAGAGATGGGGTTGGCAGGGCCAGTCAGAGGTGGGATTGGCCGGTTCTCTGAACTACTCAAAATTTCCATTCCCGGTTCTCCAGAACCGGTCAGAACCAGCTGAATGCCACCTCTGAACATGGATGCTTTTGATTGGTCCAGTGCCATCAAATTATTTTCCACTTATTTATCCACATCTCTACCCAGATAGCAAGTGTACAGAGAACGGGCAGGGATAATAGTGGTTTCATCGCCTGACCGCTCTCTGTGGGCAAGAGGCTTGACCCCTGAAGGCAGGGCCTGGTCAGGCCAAGACCACCCACCACGGCCCTGCCCTTTCTTGCATCAGATCCTCTGGGGCAGGGGTCTCCAACCTTGGCAACTTTAAGCCTGGCAGATATCAACTCCCAGAAAGCTGGCTGGGGAATTCTGGGAGTTGGAGTCCACCAGGCTTAAAAGTTGCCAAGGTTGGAGACCCTTGCTCTGGGGCACTAATGCGTTCCCTAGCCCAGGGGTCTCCAACCTTGGCAACTTTTGAGTTGTGGACTTCAACTCCCAAAGTTCTTCAGCCAGCTTTGCCCAGGAGGAACTCTGGGAGTTGAAGTCCACAACTCTTAAAAGTTGAGTTCTGGGAGTTGGAAGTCAGTTAGTCTTAAAGTGGCCAAGGTTGGAGACCCCTCCCCTGGACCAGCATCTGGCAATCTTAGCGGCTTTAAAACAGGTGGACTTCAACTCCCAGAATTCCCCTGACCCGTTTTCCTGGCTGGGGAGTCCCGGGAGTCGAAGTCCACTCGTCTTAGTGGCCCATCTGAGAAACCCCGCCCCTCCCTTAAGAGGCTGCCTGGCAACGCCCCCAGAGCGGCCGCCAATGGGAAGCGAGTCGAACGCGGAGAAAAGTCTCAACGTTCTATCCGGCCACGGGGGCGGGGTCAGCTTCCCCACCAGCACCGGCAAGTCGGTGAGCCGAACACGCAGGGCTCAAAGGGGAGTGGGGGGCGCTGCAAGGGTCTCTGCACCCTTCCCCTCCTCGGGTGGGACGGGGGGTCCTGGAGGGTCGGTCCCGCAGTTCGGACGCTTGGGAAGCCTTTTCACGTGCGTTAAAGCACGTGAAGCTCCCGGGCGGGTTTGCACGTGGGAAGAGGGCGGCGCGTGGCTATTCCAGGGCCCGGCGCTGATTCTGTGTCCCGACCGCGCAGGAGGCAGCTCCGTCTGGGCAGCCCAGGACCCCCTCGCCGCTGGAAAGGCCGATCGGTTCTGTCTCTGCTCCGGCTTCATGGCCAGGCACAGCCGGCTGCAACGCGAGGTGCTCGGCCTCTACCGGCAGTTCCTGCGCGCCTGCCGAGGCAAGCCGGGCTTCCTGCCGCGGGTACAGGCCGAGTTCCGCCGGGCGGCCCGCATCCCGCGCACCGACGTGCTGCTCATCGAGTACCTGCTGCGCCGCGGGCAGAGGCAGCTGGCGCAGCTCCGGGAAGGGCACGCCACGAGGATGGGCTTCTTCGCCCCGGGGAGGCTGCAGGAGCAACAGAAGGAGAAAGGAGAGGACGCGCAATCCTGAAGGGAGGATCGCTCTTCGTTGGGGCGCAGCGATGCCCGCTGTTGCTGCAGCAAACCCGGAGCGGCGGAGGGCGGGGAAGGGCCCCCCTGTTTTGCAGAAGCGTCCGCGAAGGAGGCTACCGAGAAGAGGCTGGTCTCTCCGGAGTTACGTGGTGTGCATTTGAAACTGGCATTTGCAGCTTGAAGCTTTGCGGGAGAAGATTGCGCAGCTCCCCATTCAGCCCCATCCCTCCTTGGTGGGAGGGGGACAGCTGTCACCAATGCATGGGACCCCCGGCAAGCTTCCTCTTGGCATTCTTGCCCCGGTATTATATTGAGGGTCCCTCCTGCAGGGATCCCTTCCAAACCCGGTGTAAACCTCCTACACGGGAAAAAAAAGGGGGGGCATCCACAATGGTTGTGAAAATGGACACGGGTTGGTTTTGGGTCAACCTTCCTCCACCTGGAAGTTTTGAGACAGCAGAAAAAAAGTTTTGAACACTGAAAGGGACCCCCCCACTCTTAAAACACTCCAAAAGAAATAATGCTAAATCTTTGCAACCAGCACAAGTTCTCTTTTGACAATACTGACTGCTGACCGTTATCTGGATTTTGTTTTTGTTCGGTTTAACACGTTTCCCTGTATTTATTAATTGCATTCTATTGTTATTGTTTCAATCTGTGAAGGGAATGGAGGCTTTTGAGCAAAAAACCAAAACTTACTGCTAATTTGTATGCAGTATTTCGGTTGTGTTTTGGCTTGCAGTCTGTTACAAAGAAACATTTAAAAACTGTGGTGGATGATTCTAGCATTTTAAACAACAAAGTTAGCATCATGGTATAATAAACAAGTTCCACTCCAGGGCTTTAGGAATCTTAAAATTAAGATGTTGTTATGTCCCTCCAGGACAGAAGAATAAATTAATTGGAAGAAGTCCCTGGGATTAATTTCCCCTCTCAATTTTATTTATTTTGCATATGGCAAATACATGGACTTATAGTGGTTCAAATGTTAATGTCCAAATGTTAATGTAATTTCCCCCCCCAATATTAAATGAACTTTACTTCTACAGCATTTTAATCTGGCTGAAAACTCTATGCAAGTTATAAATGCGTAATAATGGAAGGTGGAAATACGACTACATGTCCTGCGGCTACGAATCTCACCATATCAGGCAGTGGTATCCTTTGCAAGTCGACACAAGATAGTTCAATGTGTGCTCAAGATGCACCCGCTCACCCAGGTGTGGATTTTCCTTGTGGGTACAGAAGGCTTAGAAACCAGGGATGTGAGTTCTAGTCCCGCCTTAGGCATGAAAGCCAGTTGTGCATTAACAAAAGTGCACAACTATCAAGGCTCCAACGTGCACCCCCATTCAAATCATAAGTCTCTAGCCACATCTCTCAGAGTAAAAAAGATTTATTAGGGGTTGACATTCCTGGTTGAAGCTGACTGACACATCATTCATTTCCCCCTTGACCCTGGCCTTCCCCCCACCCCCGATGTATATTCTCCAATGAGACACATCTATAGCCAAGAGTCATCAATCACGCTCTCCAGTAATAATCTTGCGTGCCAACAGCTTCTGCTGCCATAGCAATTATCGGAAGCATTTAAAGAATGCACTGCTTTCCCTCTCTCCTTTCTGCTGGCAACTAAAAAGGCCAAAGAAATATTTTTTTAGTTGACACAAACCACCTCACAGGGTTTTTTTGGTGGGGAAAATAGGAGTCAGGAGAGGCAGGTTGTGATGATCATTTAAAGGTTTTATTAGAGACTCCACTTTCCATCAAATAAAGGTTTTACAGGCAATCCTCAGCCCAAAATTTCTGTTGCTAAATGAGACTGTTAAGGGTTTTTTGCTTCATTTTATGGCCTTTTTTGTCACCGTGGTTAAGTGAATTGCTGCAGTTAAGTTAGTAAAATGGATGTTAAGCAAATCAGGCTTCCCTGTTGACTTTTGTCACAACGGGATCATAGGACTCCAGGATTCTGCAACCGTCATAAATATGAGTCAGTTGCCAACTGGTGGAATTTCGATCAGGTGCTGCAACTGTCCTAAGTCACTTTTTTCTGTGCTGTTGTAACTTCGGTCACCAAATGAATGTTTTTAAGCTGAGGACTCTGTATATAGTTAAACATTAGGACAGGGGCCCCCAAACTTGGCAACTTTTAAGACTTGTGGACTCTGGGAGTTGAAGTCCACAAGCCTTAAAAGTTGCCAAGTTTCAGGACCTCTGTAATTTAAAGAGACAACTTGCAAAGCTGGCCTTGAAACTTAGGTTACTGGTCCCTGTACTCACTACTGGCACATAATCAACCTGCACAAAAGTGGGGAGAATAAGCCCCCCCCCATTAATGAAAATGCCCCATTTGTCATGCGAAGACCTAAAAAATGAGAATGGTTTTCCATTGGATTAGTGGCACTTTTTGCAGTTCTGGGCAGGAAGCCCTGGATATTCACTTGGAGCACTTTAAGGAACACCTTGCAGTGAGATACATGTGAACGCAGCCCGCGTGTCGGGGTTGGGAGAGTTGTTCCAACTTTGGCCTCCTATTCCAGGAAGAACTACATCTACCAGAATGCATTTCCACCCGACTACTGCAAGGGCTGGAGGCGGTGGCTACGAAATGATGGGCAAGGCCCAGTCCCGCCTCTTTTTAAACAAACAGCAGCCTCAGCCAGTGACTTTTCGAGCAAGGCGCGCTCGAATCCGCAAAGAGGCGGCGCTGGCTCGGAGTGACAGCCCAAGCGGCCTATCAATGCTAGTTCCGCCCACCGCGCCTGACGCGACTGGAGACCGAGGTGTCCCATCCCCAGAGCGGCTCCTGGGCTTCTTCCTCGCCATGGCGTTTGGCGGCGGTTGGTGGGGACGGGCCGCGGCGCGGGCCAGGAGAGCCGGCGGGCTGCTAAGGGGAGAGGCCTGGCCGTGGCTACGGAGGCCGGCGAGGCCCAACTCCGGACGCGGCGCGCCACTCCCGCCCGCTTCGGAACTGGACAAGGCAGACGCCTGGCTGCTCCGCAAGAGTCACGAGACCGGTGAGGAGGAGGGGCCGGGGCCGGTGGGTGACGTCATGGGGCGGGGCCACTTACCTGGAAGCTGGGTGGGGCTGCTGCAGCTGCTTTCCTGCGGGGCGTGATGGGAGTTGTAGTCCCTCAAAGTTGGCCTTTCCCCCCCTCCTTTTTATCAGCATATAAAAATATATATACACACATTAAAAATAGAAAAATTGATAGCAGGTCAATAGCTTAAGATCAAATTAGTATACAACCAAAACTTTTTCTTAATATTATATATTAATATAATAAATTTTATAATATAGCATAATATTAATATAATAATTCAGTGCCTGTAATATTGGCACCCTGAATTGCAATGAATCCTGTTGAATTTTTTTTACTTTTTAAGTTAATTTGATAGTAGAATATAACCTCTAATCGTGTCGTATAAATATCGTGTTTGTCTAATAAAAACTTAAATAAAAAAAACATTGTACTGAGACAATGCAAGATATCAAGATTTATTTAAAAAAAACAATGAATTACATCTGCTCACTTATCCTACTTCCTCCCTACCTCATGTTTTAGTTGTAGTGGATAATTTGTATATTTATAGTGTTTTATTCGTACTGTGTACTTGTATTGTTTTGAATATTGTATGCCCCCCAGAGTAACCTCGTGACCAGGTGGGCAGCAAAACTTTAATAAAATTAATAAGTAAATAAATAATGAAAAGGAAAAAACAAGAAACAGGGTTCTGTGTGTGGCCTCTTGAAATACCCGCCCCAGAACACCCTAAATTTTATAGATAATGTTACATAGATGATAGATAGATAGTTTAAGAGATGGATGGATGGATGGATAGATAGATATAGGTATAGATAGAAATAGGTGGAGGAAGGTGTGTTGGATAAATAAATGCACTAGATAAATTAGATAGATAGATAGATAGATAGATAGATAGATAGATAGATAGATAGATAGATAGA